TATGAATTAAACATTTGATAAAAGCAATGATGAACACCATCGTTGCATAGAAAAAAATAGAAGTGACAAGTAAAGTTAGTGAATTCGACATGCTAGGACCCGACAGGAAAAATGGCAATAACTATTGATACATTAAAAATCAAATACATTTATTAAATGCCAGCTTGTATATCCTTTCCCTATAGATCCTGTACTAAGGGAATACACCGTCTTGTATTTGTATTTTTATATGCTAGTGTCTGATTATATTTGTTTTAACTTATGCCGAAATAAACATATATTTATAGAATTTCTACTTTAATCAAGGGATATTTACAGCTGAACATGCGACTGCATAGTGTCACATACATGTCTTATACAAGATATAGAATACCATCGTTTATACATATGGACACCCGATTTTGTCTGGGTTGTCGTTTTTTTATTATATATTATATATATTAAATAATTAAATATTTTGTTTTATTTTATTTTTCAAGCCCAAATTACAAGCAAGATCAAGATTCAATCAAACCAATAGTACAGGGCCCTTGTCGTTTTTTTATTATATATTATATATATTAAATATTAAATAATTTTGTTCTTTTATTATTCATGTAAAATTACAAGCAAGACCAAGATTCAATCAAACCAATACTACACGGCCCAAGGAACTAACCCAAATGAATCAACACAGCATAATTAAAGTTTCCACCTTATCACTCAGCCGCTAGAAGCTACCAACTGTTGGATTTGCCTTTGATCCAACGGCTCAAATGGAAGAAATCCTAGGGTTTCATCATAACCATAGGATTGTGGGTCACCACCGCCTAGCCTGTTGCCACTTTCGACACTATTGCACCGCCACTGTCCGCTCTTGCCACTGTCGTCGCTGTTTACTCCTGCCGCCGTCATCATCTCAACCGGCTCTCAATGCATCAATCAGTCAAAAAAATCAAAAATTAGTAAAAAAATTCTAAATGTATTCTTTTACTCATAAGATACAAAAAATCGAATTCATGATTGTCATTCACCGAGAATAGGGTAAGCATACCTTATTTTCTCGGCAATACAGTAATCAAGCCTCAAATACAACATGCAACACCATAAAAGGAGAGGATCATTTCGAATGCAAAAAGAGAGGGGGAGAACTCAAAGAATCGGAGCCAAAAAAGAAACAAAAAGAAAGAAGAAACGCATCGAAAACAAAAAAAATCGAAAAAAAAGAGAGAGAAAGGAAAATTATCCTTATTAGTTCGTCGCCAGAAGAAAGAAAGATAGTTGGATTCAAAATAATTTAGAGGTATTCTCTTAGATCTATGGTTTTTCGCTTGGTGTTTAGGAAAGAAGGATAATTATCCTTCATGGTTAAATAACGTTTTAGATGTAAAGAATGTGTTTTTATGTCAATTTATAACCCTAAGTAATCTCCTAAAGCTTTAGCCTATGATTAAGAACCAAACTAAGACATGTATGGTGCTTTTTTTTGGGTGTTTTCTGATCTTAAACAAGATATTTATGGGTTCGACTATTGATATTGGATGAACAATATCGATATTGGATGAATTGGGATGAAATTTAGGGATTTCCATCTGGTAATATTGATATTGCTGGGGAGAGTATCGATATTTTCCCTACAGTATTGATACTCAGGGTATACAATATCGATACTAGGCCACATTTTCATCAACAGAATCCATTTTTTGTACCGATACTCATAGGAGTAGCGATACTTGACCCTAGGGTATCGATACTATATGTAGAGTATTGATGCTACCCACATCGGATGGTTATATTTGACCTCTTTAAGGCCCGTAAGAGCTAAAGATGATCCATAGTGGTAGAACTTAGTCCGTGAGGGACGTAAACGATCAAAAGGGCTCGAAAACACTCGTAAGAGTATGGTACAACCGAAATAATCGTAATAGGCATAATAAGTTCAAGTACCTTTAGCAGATCACGTAGAAAATATCTAAGGATAAAAGATCGTTGCAGAGTATGTACTGAAAAGTTGTATGACGAATTAATCAGATTACGAAATAACGGAGTTGCGTATTACAAGAATGTCAACGAATGGTTAACATACAGTTGTCCTTCCAATTCGAGGGTAAATTGAGGGAAAAAGTAGTAAGAGCGACTAAAGTATCGCTACTCAATATTTAACCCAAGCCATATATCGAGCTAGTAAATAATACATCAAGTGAACAACATAATCAGTATCATCATAAAATCATGAAACACATCGAGACCTCTTTAGAGACAGAAATAATTAAAATAACCTTAAGTACTAATTACTAGAATAGAGCCACATAATAAATTATCATGAATAACATACTAATAAACCTTTGCATAATATTCTAGATGAGAGAACTAGAAAGATAACAACTAGTGAGGGGTTAACCTCACTTTAGAATGTTGAGCTACACTAGTGTGTAATTAGGCTACCTCAATTGCCCTAGTAGGGCATTGTCATGTTGTGAGGCCTTTGGGCCCTCAGTCATAGATGTATAGTTGTATCAGTCCAATATAACATATATCCTTAGAGTTTGGCTTGACGGTTGCGTGAGACGGAGTCAATGCTTCAGCTGAGCAGGAATTATATCAATGCTATGTGACAATGGGTTCCCTCTCCATGATATACTTGATGGCTATGTGAGACCAGGAGATCATTCAACATCTTAGTGGGAATTTCATTGATGCTATGTGACATTGGGTTCTCTCAGTTAACTTGTGTTTTATGGCTATGTGAGACCAGATACTAGTAGTGTTGCATTCAGATTATGCATAAAAGAGTCAATGTTGCATTCAGATAATGCACAGGAGTATCAATGTAGCATTTAGATAATGTGTAGCAGTTACAATCATTAAGGTTAGAGACAATTTAGAGGTGTACTCATGGCAAGGCCTTTAGCAGAGGATTAAGGGAAGCGTGAGACTCCTATTTCAGTGATGGAACAGTTGAACTTTAAGTAAGTAGTACTTGATTAAGATCATGCATGTACCTACTGCTTAGTGATATGTCTTTAGCATGCTTGTGTTTATGAAACTCATAATGCTGCTCTAGATTAGCGATTATACCATTAGGCTTTGTAAGCTCAACGTTCAGATGTTTTACGTTCGTGGGTCAGTAGCTAGAGTCGATCGTGGAGCACCATCGCGGCAGGACTTCTAGCATCTCCTTCAAAGTATTGTATTGTAGCTTTAGTAGGCATATGTATTCATTGAACCTTACTCATGTACTTGGTTTATCAGACTCTAAGTTTGTAGTATTTTTTATTTTAAACAATATGTCATAGAGCTCTAGTTTATAAAATGTTTTCATAACAATTATTTGTGTTTAGTCTTGATACCATACAATATGTTTTAAAAAATGGTAATGAATAGTTTTTTTAATTAGGGTTGTCTCGACAGTTCATTGTGAAACTTTAGGTCCAAACTTGATTGAAGTCCTTAACTCAAAGAAGACATAGAACCAAACATAAAAAATACAAAAGAAATTGTATCTTAAAATAAAAAAAATAACAAAAAAATATATTTTATTTATTTAAAAATAAAACAATAATACAAAAAATAGATATTAACTCTTTTTGATAAATAATATTCAGATAGTTTCCAAATTTTAAAACAATATAGATATTTTCTAGAATAACTAAATTTAATAATTATATATATGATTAATTTTAAATTTTAAGGAGTCGTGACGGATGACCCTAAAGGTGTATTTGGTTGGGGAATGTGGGATTCTCATGGGAATGAAATCTACATTCCCCTGTTTGGTTGGCCGGAAATGTCATTCCCGGTAATCTTACATTACCAATAGTAGATTTTTTTGGGTATATTATCGGGAATGTCATTAGCTCCCTTTCCTTAGGTATTATTGGATTATCGGCGTTTTGAACTAAAATACCCTTAAAAAAATTTCTTTCAAAAATATTCTTATTATGTCATTGAATAATAAAAATTCTACGAAGGTTAAATTATAAATTTATCCTTAAACTATTTTAGATTTACAAAAAAAAAAATCTATAATTCAAATTTTATATGAAGTTCAGGGGTTAAAATAAAATTTTTCCATTTCATTAAACCTTTTTATATTTTTAATTTTATAAAAAAAATTATATAAATTTTATGAATTTAAATTTTTAAAGAAAATATATAAATATTTTCCAACTTGTTAAAAAAACAAATATATAATAAAGACAATTTGGTCAAATATACATTCTAACAATCTTTTATTCCTTTAACCAAACACAGTAATTTTACATTCCTGCTAAACCAACCAAACACAAAATACAACATTCACAGTAATCTTATTCTTTGGTAATCTTTTATTCCCACTAGTAATCTTACATTCCGTGAACCAAACGCACCCTACTAATATTGAAGAGATTTCGCATATATATATATATATATATATTATAAGAATAATAAATGCATAATAAAATTACAATTCATCGTTTATAAAATGTGAAAAATAATTAATTTAAAATTGACTCCACCTGAAGTCAATATATATTTGATAAGATTTAACTTAAATTTTGTCTAGTAATGTGATTCGATCTGAACGAAATCTAGCCTGAAATTTATCTAAATTTGAATTTATTTGATATTTAATTGATTCAGATTTAAATCGTTTTGATATGAATTGACATTGATCTAAACTGAATTTGACATTAAATCAATCTGAAAACAATTTAAAATGATTTAACTCTGACCTAATTTATTCGGAGTCGAACCATCAAATTAATCTAATCTGATATGTAAAGGTTCAATTTAAACCGGAAAGATTGTTTGATTTCCCTGATCATAACTGTGAGTCTGTGATGGCGAATGTTAGGTGCGATCAAATTAAATCTCAGACTTCTTTGTTTCTTACCTTTCTTCGTGGTGTGTGGGAACTCGTGGTCAAGATTTCCTTTTTCCTCTCTTAATTATGTACAGATTCTTTTATGCTACAAAGTCCAATCCCAGTGTTTAAATATTCCAGAAAAAATATATAATAACAGCATCAAGTGATGTCAACCAGTTCCCAGCAATATGAATGAAAAAGGAGAGTTAAGAGAGATGAAGGTAAAGTCGTTCTTGGTTGAATCGGCGCCATTTGCAGCCATGGTAACCGTGGAGTTCCTGGATGTAGGCTTAACTACCATTAGCAAAGCTGCCATGTCCAAAGGAATGAGCCACTTCGTCTTTGTCGTCTACTCAAATGCTCTGGCTTCCATCATTCTTCTTCCAGCTTCTTTTTTCTTCGCAAGGTTCTTATCTATCTATCAATCAAATGGCTCCATTGTTGAGCTATTAATTTGTGTTGGGATTTCTTGTTCATGCAGGAAAAAGCGACCACCGATTACTTTACCTCTGCTCTGCAAATTTTTCTTCTTAAGTATTGCTGGGTATGCAATTAGATCGAACACAATTCTGTTTAACATTAACAAGTGGGTTTTGATTGCTGAAAGAATTGGGTTATGAATCTGGGTTTTGCAGGATTACTTTGATGCAGAACTGTGTATTCACTGGTGTAAGTTACAGCTCTCCTACCCTTGGTTCTGCTCTTGCCAACTTAATCCCAGCTTTCACTTTCTTGCTTGCTGTTATCTTCAGGTTCCTCTCTTAATCTTGCACAGTCTTAAACTGGGATTTAAACTGGGATTTAAACCTAATTGTATAGACATTTCAATGTCACTTGTTTCTTGTTGTATGTACTAATTTTGAAGCCCATTTAGTTGTTTTTGTTGAGCTGAAGCATCCAATGATGTATGGAAACAATAGTCAACGTTTAACTTTGATCTACTAATTCCTATTGAGTCTAGCGGTAAGGAGCTCACCCTTAAGCAATATCTCGAAAACAAAGGGTCTGATCCGGCTCAAATCAAGATATAATCGGAGCCGAATGTGGTCTAGAGGTTGACCTCTGTTTGGGGTCTAACCTAACTCGACTCAATATAGTTAGAGCTCAATGCGGTCTATCGGATACCCAGGAGTGTTAGACCAATAAGTTCAACTTGATGTCTGCTATATATCAGTTATTCCTTTTAACTTTCTAGGATGGAAAAGCTAGAGTTGAGAAGCTCAAAGAGCCGGATCAAGATCTTGGGCACCTTGGTATCCATTTCTGGAGCACTCATTATAACCCTTTACAAGGGTCCTCCTATACTTTCCCAACCAGTTCAGCCACATTCAGAGCAATCTCCTTCTACCATGTTAATAACAACATCGAACAATTGGGTCATAGGCGGCCTCTTCATGGCTACTGCCGGATTTTCACTTTCGGCTAGCATAATCGGTCAGGTAATCAGCATGCTATTTCATAATCCAGTATGCTTTGGTTTTGGGGTTTAAACTGATACTTTTGTCTACTAAATTTGAAGGCTGCAATTCTAAAAGGATATCCCTCGGAGATAACAATGGTTTCCTTCTATTGCCTCTTTGGGACCATTCAGTGTGCATTGGTTGCTTTGGTTGCTGAAAGAAACCCGAATGCATGGAAATTGAGTCCTGATATTGAACTCATCTCTGTGGTCTACTCGGTAAATAGGCTGCAACTAGAGAAAAGAACTAGTGAAAGGCAATTTCCATATTAGCTTCTTCATTATAGCAAAGCAAAGCTTAGTGACCGAGACCTATTTCTTTTCAGGCTCTATTTGGAAGCGTGGCTACATTCGGTGTGATGGCATGGTGCATACAACGTAAAGGGCCGGTCTTTGTGGCCATGTTCAAGCCCTTAAGTATTGCTATTGCTGCCGTCTTCGGGTTCATTTTCCTTGGAGAAACACTTCATAGAGGAAGGTAAGAATCTCATCATAACATTTTTGTGTTTTTGCAAACTCGGTAAACAAGTCAAGCCGTTGGTGAGACCGGAATATGAACAAATATTATTTTTCTCCACTTTTCCATGAACGAAAATGATTTAGCCTTTAGGTAATAGGCAAAGGTTCACCTTCGTAAACTAATACTTATTTTTTTTTGATAGAATTTGGAGGTCTCATTAAAAACTCCCTTCGTATTCGTTCACATACTAAAAGTATGTTAACGAACATTGGAAGGAAGAAAAGAGTACCTCAGATTTTATTAATATAATACCCGATACAAAAGACACAACGGAATATCCTCTCATGGTGATGTACACCATTACAACAAAAACCTTAACCTCATAAAACCTCATCCAAAGCCACAATCAAATCACCTTACTACTAATTACACCATCAACAGTAGTAATAAAACAACGCGACAGAACATAATACAAAATGAAAGCAACACCTACAACCATATAGACTAAAATAAAACCACAAATGAAGAGACGAGATCTAATGAGACTTGTATTCTTCAGGAGCCCAAGAGTTTGGTTTGAATGAAGGTTCTATCTCATGCACCATGACCTTGAAGAAATTGTCACCCACCTTCAATTCAACCATCGAATCAATTCTCGCATCAGCCTCTGTTAGGACTTGAATTTTAGCCCGATCAAAGGATGATGGAGATTGACAACTTTCGTCGATAGCCAATAAAAGACCCCACTTATCAGCAATGTTCTTGAAAGTATTCCAATTCCATGCGTGAAAAGGAACACCCTCGCAAACTAGCCATACTCGACGACACTCCATTACCAAACTCTCTGACCAAGCTTCGACTATGGAGAACCACTCTGCGAGAATCTTTGATTTGTCGTTCTTTACACTTCTCAATGAAGCATTGTCTTCGAAAATCATTAAAATCGCATTACCAGCAGCTCTCATTAATGTGAAGCCAGTGAGACCCTTCGATTGCATTTGTCTAGCGAGATGACCAATTTTAACAAAGTCCTTGCACCACCCCACTAGACAATTGCTCAACACCTGGAGTTTTTCTTCATCTATAACACCTTCAACTTTATAATGATTCTTACTTATCTCTTTAAGGTTGTCCTGGATTAATATTTGTTTGTTTATCTTAATAATGCAGTCTTGCATGAAGCTATTAACCAAAAAATAGTGCTGATCATATTCCTTTACAGTATTGTAGGAGCAGGCATAATAGTTACGGGGTTTTATGGGGTGATATGGGCACAGTCCAAAGAGGACAAGGATGAAGTGGCCAAGACATCAACCACCCCTCTCTTACATGGGTATGTTCATCAGAATTCTTAGTAGTTGCCAGATATGGGGCCGATCTACTTGCATGTGCATGCTTCTTTCCCAACATCTACGTTAACCCTCGCCCTTGCGTGGATGTTTAAAAACATTTATAAACATAATTTCGCTACATGGGGTTCTGCCCTAACAAGACTTAACTAAGCTATTCGTAGGAGGATCTATCTTGGTAATTAGGGGTGAGTAAAACTTGACTCACTCGAAAAATCAATTTTCTTTTTAATTTTGAGCTATTCGAATTGAGTTATTAAAAAGTTATTTGAGTCAACTAGAATTATCAATTCGGTTTTCGAGTTCGATTCGAGTTGAAATTTTGAGTTACTCAAAAAATCGAAAACTGGAATAAATATTTTGACAGTTTTACGATTTAGTCCATAATTTCATTATTCCTTCAATTCCTCTTCATTTTAAGTCAATTTTTTCAAATTTGAACCACATGCTCTTAAATTATCGTAGAATACGTATATACTTTCAATTCTTTTTTTATAATATTTTTTATTTTTCAATTTAGTCCCTTAATTTTTTCATATTTTTCCTAATTTCTTCAATTCATCTTTTATTTTAGGTCCGTTTTTATAAAATTTAAACCACATGCTCATATATCACAATATAATACATATAACTTCAATTCTTACTTTTTACTAAAAAAAGTACCCACTTTTTTATTTAGTCCTTTAACTTTGCGTTTTACTCAATTTGGTTTTTTGACTAAAATTATTTGCAAATTCTTTCTTCCCATCAATTCTTTGATTCCTTTATACTCTCATCAATATTTTATCCTCAAAATGATTTCTTTAAAATATAATATTAGATTGTATTTGATATATTAAATAACATTATAATATAAAAAGAATATAAAATATATAAATATATCTTATATGTTTAGAGAAACTCAAAATATTAGACAAATCATTGACATAATACTATAAATAATTATAATAAAATTAGTATAGAAATTAGAATAACTCGACTCAGCAAACGTCAACTCGAATAACACGAAATTTTTTAACCCGACTCAATTTAATCGAATGCTCATCCTACTGATAATACTAATACTAGTGTTGGTTCTTATAATCTCTCTGTTTTGCTTCAATGTCAATGGTTTCTTCCTCTTCCGACCTCTTCAGTCTTCTTATCATATTCAAATAAATTTAACAAAAAATTATTTACATATACATTTGAAATGACAGAACTGGTTTTGAAGAAAGAAGAAACATAGGCTTACAAGTTTTCATATCAGATAAACAATCACAAAATCTGACGAACGGTGAATTTAATTTGTGTTGAAAAGTAGGTTAAAGAGGGAAATTCTAGGGGCCGACATATTAATACAAGGCTAAAAAACGGTGTAATCAAAAATTTGAAAAACACTAACAAAATTGGTTTAGCGTGACTGAAAATGTTAATTTATTTGTAATATATTAGGTTGTAACTATTTTAAAATAACTTAAAATTGTGTAACCGAGAAACATATCTTACAGGTTAAAAGCGAAACTGGAAAAATTATCAATGCAATAACGTAATAGGTTACGCGTAAAATGTTATAAATAGTAAAAAATAAGTTGTAAACAATAAATGTTATGAATATTATTAATATTTTAGGTTACGATTAAAATGTTATTAAAGTTTAAGTTAAAGGGTCTTAGACATTACTACTATAAGAAATTAAGTTAAAAGTTAAAAAAAATTATTAATATATATAAGAAATACGATTGTACCTAAAAATGACATGGTTCACTAAGAAGCATGTTACGATTTGGAATGTTAATATTTTTATTAATAAAATGGGTTGCGTCCAAAAATTTAATGGTTCACTAAAAAATAGGTTGTGATATGGAATGTTAATATTTTTATTAATAAAATGGGTTGTGTCCAAAAATATCATGGTTCACTAAAAAAATGTTATGATATGAAATATTAATATTTTAATTAATAAAATAGGTTGCGATATGGAATATTAATCAAATGAGTTTCGTCCAAGAATGTCATGGTTCACTAAGAAATAGGTTGTTATATAAAATGTTAATATTTTTATTAATAAAATTGGTTACGCACAAAAATGTTATGGTTCACTAAGAAAGTAAGTTGTAATTTGGAATGTTAATTTTTTTATTATATTTTTTAAAAAAGTATGGAAACTATTCCAAAAGTATCGATACTTTCGAATTTAAAGAAAAACATGGAAAATGAGGACGCTGCAAAGTATAGATACTTTTAAATTCGAAATTTAAATATCATTTTCTATTTTTTAATTCTAAAGTATCAATACTTTCGAATTTAAAGAAAAACATGGAAAATAAGAATATTGCAAAGTATCGATACTTTTAAATTAGAAAGTTAAAATATCATTTTTCATCTTTATTTTAAATTCGAAAGTATCGATACTTTAAGCAAAAATATCGATGCTTTCGAATTTAAAGAAAACATGGAAAATGAGAAGGATGCAAAGTATAAATATTTTTCCACAAATATTGATACTTTCAATTTTTTTTATAAATATTCATAATATATTAAGCTTTTAACTTATTTTGTTATGCTCGTGATAACGTGGTAGGTAGCTCATTTTTTTTAATGTCAACTGTTTAAGTAATAAGTATGAAACCGTTTATATGCTGCAAAAGTATGACAACATGTTTCTCATGATAACGTAGTAGGTAACACTTTTTTATATCAATCGTTTAAGTTATAAGTACGAAATTGTTTATATTATGCAAGAGAAAGACAAAACATACTGCTCATGATAACGTACTAGATAACGTTTTTTTTAGTGTCAACCGTTTAAATTATAAGTATGAAACCATTTATATTATGTAAAAGTAAGACAAAAGATGTTGCTTATGATAACGTACTAGATAGCGCATTTTTCTTAAATGTTAATCGTTTAAGTTATAAGTATAAATTCATTTATTTTATGTAAAAGTAAGACAAAATATATTTTTCATGATAACATGATAGGTATCATCTTTTTTTATGCAGAAGTATCTCAATTCACTCATAATAAATATTGATAATTCCTCACAAAATATTGATACTTTCGAATTAAAAAATGGAAAATGAGAATGCTGAAAAGTATCAAATTTTTCCAAAAATACAAGAGCATAAATATCGATATAAAAAAATGTCGAACCTCAAAACATATGTATCAATATTTTAACTATCGATCATATTCAACAACTTATTCAATATCTAAAAGTATCAATCATCTTCGTATAAGTGTAGATATTTTATATTTCAATTTTTTCAATTTTTAAAATTATCGATCATTACCGCACAAGTATTAATATTTTAAATTTTGAATTATATTCAACTTTTTAATATTTAAAAGTATCAATAATAATATATTAAGTATCAATATTTAAATTTTTGAATTTTTTTTGCGCAAACTAATTTATTAAAAAATATTAACATTACATTATAGATCGTAATATATTTTCTTAGTGAATCATAACATTCATAGGTGCAACTTATTTTATTAATAAAAATATAACATTACAGATCACAACATATTTCTTAGTGAACCATGACATTATTGGACGCAATTGTATTTCTTATATATATTCATAACATTTTCAGTTTTTAACTTATTTTCTTACCGTGAAAAAATCTAAAGTGCAATCAGCTTAAACTCTGTAATATTTTAGCTGCAACCTATTTATTATTAAAAATATTAAAATTCAATATTACAACATATTTTCTTAGTGAACCATGATTTCTTATGCGTAACTTATTTTATTAATAAAAATATTAACATTATAAATTGTAATTTTTTTGTTAGTAAACCATAGCATTATAAATATTGTACGTAAGCGTATATTCACAATATTAGTGAACCATAACTTTATTTTCCACGTCATTTACAGGTGACATGAATTTTTTATTATTTTTAAATTATCGTGTAATACTTCTATTAAAAAGTTAATTGAAATATTAAAATCAAACAGATCAATAACATTATATCATGTATCTTAAATCGGTGATCAAAGTCTATTAAATCAAAAACAAAAGTGACTATCGTCATAGTTTACCTTAAAAAAATTCCAATAAATTAATCGAAAGATATTTAAAATCTCGAATTGGGGATTTGAGGAAGTGATAGATTGGTCAAATCGGGGAACCGTAATAAATATTGCTGGGAACGAGGGCTTGAAGTTCAAAACAAGACAGGGCTTACTCGAAAATGCAAGCACGCAAACACCAATAACAAAACAATTAATGGATTAAGTAATAATTAATCATTATTTTTTACATAATAATTAATCAATGCTCAAAGGCATAATAACAAAATTACCCCCAATATTTACATAAATGGTCACTTTACTCTTATATCTTTTTAGAGCATTTGAGTGGCATCACATATAGACTTGACACATCCGTATGAAACATTTACAATTACTCAACCAACAATTTACATCCAATCAAAAGATATTTCACTCCAAAATGAAATGTTAGGGCTAAAATGCTCAAAAAAAATATCGAAGACAAAAATTAATATGTATAATACACAAATGACCCTAATTATAGTGCACTATTTTGTTGAGTCTCATGACTATTAAAAATTATAAAATGATCTTTTAACTATAGAGTATGACTTTGTTGATTCTTTCGACTATTAAAAGTTACAAAATAGTCACATAACTACTTATATGTTCCAAATTTTTCTTTTTCCTTTAAAAATTGACAGTCGTCTGAACTAGATGTTGGTATGCTGATTATGATATGATAGTCATTTGAGACTATATTTTATCATATCACTGTCATCATATCATAGTCAGCAGGTTAACGTCCAACTCATATTGTCGTCATTTTTTAAAAAAAATGACAAGTTTGAAATATATGAATAGCTAAGTAACCATTTTATAATTTTTAATAGTCGAGATAAAGTACCACTCAATAGTCGAAAAATCACTTTGTAACTTTTAATAGTCATACGACTTAACAAAGCAACACCTTACAACAAGACAATACCCTATAATTGTAATATCCTTTTGAAAAAGGGGTTTCATTCTTTATTTTTAATTTTCTCTTGTAAATAGTGTGTTTTTAGTTAGTTGAATTTGTAAACATTTTCTTTTAAGAGATTTCTTGTTTACATTCTTTTTATCCTTTTGAAAAAAGGGGTTGGTTTCTAGTTGTCATTGAAAACTAGAGAGTTGTAAAAGATTACTCTTGAGCATAGAAAAAGAAATAATAAATTAGTGAATTTGTTAGAAATCCTTAGTAATAATCTAAGGTAGTGGATGTAAACTTTATTGAGGAAGTTGAACCACTCTAAATACTTGTGCAAATTTTTTATCTTTTCTCTTCATACTCCTAAAATTTTTATTTAGTCAATTCACGTCCTCTTAACACTTTTTTAATTGATCGATAGAACATATAAATCCCAACATAAGGCTATCTTATAATTAATGGGTTTATTTAAATTCATTCTCAAGTTAGCCTGCAAACTCTTAATTAGGAATGGCAACGGGCGGGTTCGGAGCGGGTTTTGCTCGCCCCGTCCCTAAACCCGAAATGAATCTCTATCCTCGACCCCGACTCGATCTTCGTCGGGTTTTTTATCGGGGTATCCCATCGGAGATTTTTTTTGCCCCGTCCCTAAACCCGAACCCGAAAATATTATATATATAATTAATATAAAAAAATATAAAATATTATATATATAATTAATATAAAATATATAAAATATTATATATATATATATATATAATCGGGGCGGGAAGGGGATACCTTGCCCCGTCCCCGAACCGACCCGAAAAAATTTCCGATATCTGACCCAATATCATTCAAATCCGATCCGAACTTGACCGAATTTCGGGTTTCTCCGTCGGGTTTGAGTCATTCTATGATCCCTACTCTTAATCCAGAATTTGGAACGTTAGATAATTAATAAATAAGTTTAATCTAATTTATTTTATTTTAATATAATATTTGTCGAATCCTATATGTAATCGTGAAAATATTGGGTATAAATTTTGAGAAGATCAAAATTTAGGAAAGAGATTTTGGAATTTTACCACGGATAAAATTGATATATTTTCAAGTTTTAATTTTTTTATTAAATTATTTTAAATTATAATTTTAAAAATTAGGATTATATTTTATCACGTCAATATTTATGTTGAGTAAATTGTTGAACTTAATAATTTATGATCAAGATAAAAATGTTAAAAATATATTTTTAAACAATTAATTACATGATTAAAATAGATATGATAATAGAATAATGATTAAATAGATAATTAAATCAATTTAAATAGTTGTGTTCACTGTGTGTATATTATACACTATTAAAAAATTATGAATATATATTATTTTCTAACACTTCGTATCTATTATTAAAAAATTGTGTGAATCCAAATTTTAATGTTAATATTGATCATTATTTTAATTAATTATTGTTAAATAGTATAATAATAAAATTATCCTCAATATTTGCATAAATGGTTATTTTAGAGCATTTTAGCTCCCAATATTTTATTTTAGAGAAAAATACCCTCTAGGTGGAGAAAATTGTTAATTAACTAAGGGTCAACGCTTCTTATAAATGTGACAGGTTCACATGAGATGTCACATCATCAAAAAAGAATTTTAAATATATTTTTATAAGTGTATATACAATTAATTATAATTATAATTTACTCTAAAAATAATATTTTGTTGAAGTGCCATCACACATAGAATTGTCACGTTCGTATAAAATATGTATGGTGCAACTAACAATTTTCATCCAACCAATGAAATGCTAGAGGCTAAAATGCTCAAAAAAAGATCGAGGATAAAGTGACCATTTGTGCAAACGTTTGGGGTAATAACAAATATAGAAACAAAATTAATGGGTACAATACACAAATAAACCTTGATTGTAATGCATTATTTTGTTGAGTCTCATTACTATTAAAAATTACAAAATGATCTTTTGATTATAGAGTGTTACTTTACTGAGCTCACTGACTATTAAAAGTTACAAAATAGTCACATAACTATTTATATGTTCTAAACTTATTATTTTCCTTTAAAAAATTGACGGACTAAACTAGATGTTGGTATGAAGACTTCGATATTTATTTGATATTCTAAAATTATATTTTATCAAATCACAATCAACATGTTAACGTTCAACTTATATTATCATTTTTTTATAATGACAAGTTTGAAATATATAAATAACTAGATGACCATTTAACTTTTAATAGTCGAGAGCAAGTATAACTCAATAGTTAAAAAATCATTTTGTAATTTTTAATAGTCGACGACTTAATAAAACAATACCTTACAACAAGACAATACCCTATATCTAAGAGATCATTTGTATATTTTACCTAAATTAATTAATAAATAAGTTTAATCAATTTATTTTATTTTAATCTAATATTTATCGAATCCGATATATAATAGTGACCATATTAGGTATAAATGTTGAGAAGATCAAGATTTATAAAAGAGATTTTGAAATTTTACTACGGTTCAAATTGATATATTTTTAAATATTAAAATTTTATTAATTATTTTAAATTATAATTTCAAAAATTATGATTATATTATATCACGTTAATATTTATGTTGAGTAAATTGTTAAACTTAATAATTTATGATCAATATAAAAATATTAAAAATATATTTTTAAAAATTAATTACATGATTAAAATAAATATGAGGATAAAATAATGATTAAATAGATAATTAAATCAATTTAAAATAGATGAGTGACTAACTTTAAATCTTTTAGATTTACTAAGCATAAAATTTATTAAATGAATATTAAATCAAATTAAATAATAGTGTTCACAGTGGGTATATTACACACTATTAAAATAATTATGAATACAATTATAAATAGATATTATTTTGTAATATTAAAAAAATTATGAATAAAATTATAAATAGATATTATTTTGTAATATTTCGTATTAATTATTAAAAAAGTGAGAATCCAAATTTTAATGTTAATATTGATTTTTTTCATAATTTTGTTACAACTCTTAAAAATAGATATTATAAATTATAATTTATATTTATCTATATTATTTAAATATTTTATGAGAAAACCATCCCCATAATGCTTGTTACAGAGAAAACGTTTTAGCAGTAGTACTAAATAACGGAGAGGTAAAAGCATTTAATATTGTAAAAACTACTAAGGGGGCGTTTGGATGGGAGAATGTGGGATTCCCCCGGGAATGGAATCCACATTTTCTCGTTTGGTTTGGCCGGTAATGTCATTCCTGGTAATGTTTTATTACCAATAGTGGATTTTTTGGGGTATATTACCGGGAATGTCATTACCTCCCTTCCCTTAGGTATTATAACATTACCGGCGTTTTGGACTAAAATGCCCTTAAATTTTTATTTTTTTTCTTCAAAATATCATTATTCTGTCATTGAATAATAAAAATTCTACGAATGTTAAATTACAAATTTATTCTTAAATTATTTTAGATTTACAAAAAAAAGTCTATAATTAAAATTTTTTATGAAGTTCAGGGGTTAAAATAAAATTTTACCCTTTCATTAAACCTTTTTTTTATATTTTAAATTTTGTAAAAAAATTATATAAATATTATGAATTTAATTTTTTGAAGAAAATATATAAATATTTTACAACTTGTAATATTATACAAATATATAATAAGGATAATTTGGTCAAATATACATTCCAATAATCTTTTATTCTTTTAACCAAACACAGTAATCTTACATTCCTGCTAAACCAACCAAACACCAAATACAACATTCCCAGTAATCCTATTCCCTAGTAATCTTTTATTCCCACTGGTAATCTTACATTCCGTGAACCAAACGCACCCTAAAAGAATAAGTAGGTGAGAGAAAACTACAAATTTTACTATGGAAATGTTACTAAGGGCACTTGGTAACATTTCCATGGGTGGTCATGTCAGTGTAGCAAGATCCGCAAACCTCTCTGTTCCCCGACGTCCCTGGCGGAACGCACTTGCACCTCAAGCAGCAGGTCCCGCACGCCCTGGTACATCTGTTCGGCCTCGAGTGCTGGCTGCATCTTTGCTTGCATAATCCTCCACAATCTGAATTCACCCACCAACATGATAATATTAGTATCACGACAAGAGGAAAATGAGTTATGTGCCGGAAAAAGGAGGCTAAATAGACCCACCAATATCTTTCATGAGCCTCCTGTTTCCACCTCTCACAATCAAGGAATCCACCTAAGCATAGTTCATTCAGACATTTCAGCGAACATATAGAGCACAGAAAGAAAATAAAGCAGAAAATAGACAACACTTTTCTCTATAATATATTTACCTCAGCGACATTGGTTTTATCCTGTTCTGTCTTGTGATCAGATGAGACTTGCATTGAAGAAAATAGTTTATAAAGCGAATATACAACTTAAACCAAGAAAGTAAAACTCCCCAGTCCCCATAACTCAAAAGCTAAGTACCTTTGCAAGGCATAGCAGGAGAACACCTACCGCAAGAAACACTCGGACTGCCATGGCTGCTGTGTACTTTTATTTAATTGAGTTGAGCTTAGCACAGGGTTTCCTTAACATGGGATTGATTTTATAGTGGTCTCGTTCACCGTGACTTTACTTAACTGCCCATTAAAATTTTTTGTTATTACAACAAAATATCTCAGTCGGTCTTAGGATAAGTACCAAGAATGGCTAAGGCTAGAGGTGTGGGCAAGGATCAACATTTGATTTGAATTTAAATTTAATTCTATTTAATAATATCATGGATTTAAAAAAAAATTAAGTTGGAGCGTATAAAATTTAAATTTATGGCAAAAAATTAATCCTAAAAGTAGTATAAGTATCTTTTATATATTTAAAAATAATTATAATATTTTTATTCTTTAATTTATTTTAAAAAGTAAATATATATTTATGTTAAATCGAATAAAATTTTACTTTAAAAATTAGATCTGTTTCAAGTTGATAATTTTCTAAATTCAAACTTGATCAAATATAGATAAAAAAATACTCCATACATTTTAAGTTAAATTAAAAAAAATCAAAATTTAATTTAATTGGATTCGTAATCATTCCTAAGTGTGAGTTTACTTCACTGTTAAGGGTAGGGATTACTCGACAATGTTTAATGAAATCCATATATTCTTTTACTTAATGTAATGCAATGTTAATCATATTTAAGTACACTTTTATGAATAAATATACCATATTTTTTTAGTATATTATTCTCATTAAATACTTGGTTTTCTTATTCAAATTAACGAAGTGTTATGTTACTCGTATTAATGCAGGTTATATTAAAATTCTTAGTATTTTTTATATATTTTAATAATAATATTTAAATATATATTGAATGTAAATATTAAAAAATAAATGAGTCAAGTAAACAAACAGTCACTCAACTATAAGGTGTTGCTTTATTAAGTATTCGACTATTAAAAGTTACAAAATAATTTTCTACCATATAATGTTATTTTATTAAGTCATTTGACTAATAAAAGTTACAAAATAGACACCTCATTATTCATCATGTTTTAAATTCATCATTTTCTATTAGAAAATTGGAGGTTATTTAAACTTGACGTTAACATGGTGACTGAGATATGATAGTCATTTGAGATTCTAGGATAAGATTTTATAATATCGCAATCAACAAGTTAATTTTTAGCTCAGAAAGTTATCAATTTTTAAACGAAAAATGATAAGTTTGAAATATAATGAATAGTCAGTTATTATTTTATAATTTTTAATAGTCAAATGAGCACAAATCAAGCGAACTTGATGATAAGGAAATTGTTGTTATTCATTGAGATCATAGGTTTAAACACCAAGAATATCAGGGTGTGAGTCATTAATGAGAAATGATTGAGAGCTATTTTTGAACAAATATTACATTACATTTACCTTATATTAATAAAAAAAATAGTCAAATAATTTAATAAAATAATATCTTATAATTTAGAATTATTTATGTACTTTATCCAAAATAAATTTAAAACAAAATTTAAGAAAGTAAAAGAGTGGGAGGTGACATGACTATATGAGTAATGAAGGTAGGCAGAGTTTGACTGATGAAATGAAGTCGGGTGTTATTACATACAGCTGTTCGTGCTCTGTACCCCAACAATATCATGTACGTTCTGCATAGCGTTTTATCAGTTTTATTAACAAAATCAATAAAACACTCAATAATAATAAAATTAATATAAATAATAATATTTTTGATAATTTTTTATTGATTTTATTATTTAATTAATAATAAAATCGATAATATTTTTTTAACTTTATATTAAAACTGTAGCAAGTAATCATTTCTTTATTTTATAATTTACCCTACCAAACCTATAATTAAGTGTATCAAATATCATCCAAAAAATCTATCCACATAGATAAAGATACGCCTTATAAGATAGACCTTAATAGACAAGACTTTTTTTTTCTATTTTTTATTTTAAATTAGATTTTATATATTTTTATTTTAAAATTACTTCATCTTAATATTTTAACTTCTTATATTTTTAAATTATTTCACCTTAACATTTAAATTATTCCTTAAATTATTTTTTAATCTCAAATTATTTTAAATTTAATTATAATTTTTAATTTTTTTGTATTTTCAAATTTTATTTTTAAATCATATAATTTGAATATATAAACTTTATGTTTTATCATGTATTATAAACTTTTAATTTTTAAGTTTTTATGTGATTTTTTTAAAAAAATTAATATAAATTAAAAATAAACTAAATATTAATCAGTAAATCGTAAATTAAAAATATAGATACTCAAGTTTGAGAGGTAACCGACTTACGGGTAACCGTCTCTTATAAGCACATTGGTCAAATTTTGTGACCCGAAAATCGAGTACTAAAAAATATAGATGCCCAAATTTGAACAAACTTAGTTATACTAATACTAATAAATATATGGGCGTTATTAAATAAAAAAACCCATTAATTATTTTTTAAGAGTAACTCCTAGATTTGTTAGAAAAAAAACTCTCAAACTATTCACATAAAACTAACTCGTGTCCTACAAAACTCGTAATAATATCACACGTCTTACAAGGCACAAGATACGTCATATATGGATGCACTTTTCACATATCACTATTTAATATTCGTATTATTGACCTCGCGTTACGCAAAATGTGAGATTTACAAGATATCGAACCGTCGTTGTGAAATTTACTGCGAGTGGTATTCTACATACCTTGCGTATTAAAAAAAACATGAGGTATGTTGTTATGTATGTTATATAATATTTGAATATAATATTTTTATTACATAATATTCAATAAAATAACATCAAAACTAAATTGTTATAAATAGACAATACTAATTATAAACATGATTTCTATGTAAAATGTTAAAAACAAAATTGCTTCATGATTCCAAAAACAATAAGCATAACAAATATATAAATTGTTATAGTCTATTTGGCAAAGTTGGTGATGTGAATTACGCGAACAATTGTTTGGACAATTGCAGGCTTCGATTTATTATAGGAAGGTAATGTTATAACGACTCTACGACATTAAGCCTAAAAACATATTCCTCTCCGAATGAATAACTTCTAAATTTATTTTCGCGAGATCAAAAGCTCTCATGATTTGAAGTCCTTCATCCCTTAATTTACCCCTAGAACAAATAAAATAAGGTCATGGACATAAATGACGTTGATATTACCTTTATCGGTTCCTTATACGACATTAACTTGCTTCAAATAATGTAGACCGAACTCTAAATTTATTCCACTAAAATAATTATACATGCCTTATTTATATAAAGCTACATGATTATTAGCAACAGGAAATCTTTCATGAAACATTTTCCCAGCTTGATTCCACTGTATAACACACAAAAAATTTCATATAAAAGTTATGAAAAATGTAATTATGACCCGCAGCTTCACGAAAGCTCTTGCAACTCCATTGCGTGTTGACGAAATCGACAATAAAATTAAAAGCGACATGCACAAGAAATTTTTATAATACTTTTCTCGAAAATAATTCAACAATATTAAAACATATTTTCTTTGTCATTTTGCATTGAAGTAGGTTTAGGAATCCATCCAAAGTGGTCCCAATTTATAATCGTCCTCGCACTCGTCCCGAAGCGAGACATCTATAGAACTCGCGTTACCCAGGACATGAGGTACATTGAAAAGGTGTGACCCTTTAAATCGAATAATATCCAACGTATCAAAAAGCAACTAGCATGACACATGACACGAGGTAGGTTGGATTTGATCAAATAAATGTTACATAATGGACCTCGCTCTATGCAAAACGAGAGGCCATAATTCATATAATAAAGGCATTTATTTTAAAAAGAACACCATAAATTTAATTTATAAAATAGTGTTATTATTTTAAAACATTTTTGAAATGTTTAAGCTTAGAGACATTATCTTTCAATTGAAACTGATATAGACACATGAGAATTGTAAGCGGGGTACACATTGCGTTTAAAATGCTTTAAAACGAAAAGAAATTAAAAACTAACGAACATATTTTTTGTAAATAACTTATAATGGCTTAAACAACTCTAAAAATTATCGTCTTAGACTTCTGATTTTGGTATCGTTGGTGCAGAGAGCAAAGAAAAAAAGCTCAAAATCGTTTTTCAAAAGGTGTTCTTGGTACCATCAGAAGAAGATGCCTTGTGTTCTTGGTACCTTCGGTACAAAATACAAACGAAAAAACTCGATGACGTTTCCATTTGAAGAATCTCACGTCGTGTAGGTTCGTCTTGACCTTAAACAATATTTTGATATATCCAATGTTGTAAAAGCACTTATTGTGCCTATCTTAGCATGGAAGATGAAAATGATGTCACCGGAAGAGAGTGTCTTTTTTAAACTAAAAGTGTTATGAGAATGGATAAATCATTTGTTGTGTTTCTTTAAACGATGCTACTGGAAGAGAGTACCTTTTTAAACTAGAAGTTACCAAAAAGAAGAAGGTTTAACAATGTATTAGTCATCTCTCGAGTCAAACTGCCAGGTCTAATCAGCTACTGTCACGTCGACAATATCTGCAGAACTTGTGTTATGCAAAATGCGAGTTTCAAGCCATATCACTTCAAGAATATATTCATTGCATGCATGTCCCTTCCACATCACATCAAAAATATATTCTACTAAAAAATGACTTTCATTCGAATTCTTATTTCAAACAAGTTTATTTGACGTTTCTCAATTATTACACAGTTTGAAGTCACTATAATTTCACTCATATTTGTTATTCTCTTTGCATGTTCGTAGATATTTTCAAAACATGTCGAGAAGAGGAAGTGTTACTGTTTTGATATATTATGATGGCAAAATGATGTATGATGAATAACTCAGCATCGTCTTTCAGTCTGCACATACTGTGACGATAACGTTGTCGAAGAAATTAACTTATAAGAAGTTGATGAAAGTCAAGAATAATGTTCCACATGATCGCGGGAAAAAACTTGAACCGTTGAAATATCGACTAATAACGTCGTTAGAACCACTAACCTACTCAATATACAACGTTGAGGATGAAGGTAATGTGGACATGATGCTCGATTACCACATGCAATATTCATTAGGAGGGTCACTTGAGCTATATGCAAATCTTTT